AAAGGGGGCGGGGACTCCGGGGAGCAGCAGCTCATTTGCATTTAAAGACACAGGCCCGAAAAACAGCGTATTTTCTGCTTCCATTCAAAATAGGCATTTTCAAAATGATATAATAAATGATCTGTGGGGTATTTTGAGCTGAAACTTCACAGACACATTCTGGGGACACCAGAGACTTATATTACATATTGTAAAAAGGGGCATAATATGTCTCCTTTAAAAACACATCACATTAAAAGAGTTTAAACTCGTGTCTTCAGAAGGATCTGCAGAGCTGTAGGTGCTACACACCTGAGTTTCCTTCTGAGTTAAAACAGATGTGATGTTTTTAAACACTGTTGTTTGGTTTTTAATGTCTGTGAATCTCAGATTCCTGTTTTCTGCTGTTTCTTCATCAGATGAAGGAGAGCACGATCACTCGGCTCCAGACGGCCCTCAATCAGGTAGAGAATGAAACTTCAGCTCGTTACTAAATTTAGCAACTTTTCAGATTACCCTAGCTACTTTTTCTTCCAAATGCACCTAGCAACACATTTAGCTTTTTTAAAAATGTATTTGGCAACTTTTGAAAAGTGACTCGGACAATAAAAAGACACACATTTGCCATTTAAATTACACAAAAAGAGGAAAGATGCCTAGCAGTACACACATCACGTGAATTAATTGTTTATTTAATAATAGGCTAATAATAATTGAATGATTGTTCATTTATGATACACTTTGTTAGTAGCTTGTACCTGCGATTGTTGATCAGTTAGTACACTGTAAGAAAAATATCTAGAAAAACGGGAAAGGTACTAGTAATTTTCTAGGACATTATCTGTTATCCGTTATCCGTTGAAACCCTGTAAACTGAAAACGCAAAATACAGTGCGTAACTAAACTAAAAACAGTGGAAAAATCAATACAGAAAAATCCTTCACATTAACATAGTAGATTGTGCCCTATTTTTACACACTTTTCTTAGAGTGTAGCATACTAACTAATAGGGTTGCAGCATTCCAAAAATCTAAAAATTTAAACATTCCAAAAATCCCTAAAATATTCCCAAAAATCCTGGAAATTTTCCAAAATTTCCGGAATATTTCCGAAATATACTGGAAATTTTCCACCTTTTTGCAACCCTACTAACTAACTACTAACACACTGCTTAAAAGTGTAATTGTTCAGAATGTGTAGTACTTGTTTACGAGCTAATAACTAAAAACTTAAATTGTAACCGTCCAAAAATGTGTAGGTTTTCAATAATTCAATGCATTTAAAAATAGTTATTTATATTTTAATATTATATCATGCATTTATGTTACTTTATGAACAAATCTAAATGAACATATGTAAAATGTATTTGATGCAGTGACACAATGTTGCGTCGTGATGATGACATCACAGCGTCATTTAGCAACAAATCAGCCTTTCCCCTGGAAATGACCTCGGCTCAGCGCTAAACCTTCACTTCCTGTTCGTCCGCGCAGGTCTCCGCGAGCACGCGTGAAGAAGATGCTGCCGAGACGGCTCAACGCCTCCAGGAGGTCAGAGGTCAAGCGAGCTGCAGGGATCAGAGCGCCAGACTGCAGGTGTCTAGTGTTTCACTACAAACTCGCTTCACTTCAGCTGTTAATACAAACTAAAACCAAATCACCATATTATTAATTATAGATTTAATTAAGTAAATATATGCGATTTCCATCCAAATAAAAGTTTGTGTTTCCATAATAAATGTGTGTGGAATGTGTATATTTACAAACATGAATATATTTAAGATATACTATATATATATATATATATATATATATATATATTTGTCATAAATATAAATATATATATTACGTACATTTATTAAATATATACATGTATGTGTGTGTATGTGTATATATGTATAAATATTCACAGTACACGCATATTATGGAAACAAACTTTGGTTTTGGATGTGATTAATATTAATCAGTCAGTTTGATAGCACTATATATTATATAATTTTTTAGAATATTATTAATAATAAGTATTTTATTTAAATTGATATGTAATTAAAATTTTTTGGCAAAATACAAGCAAGCACAGGAAACGTGATTTTATTTTAAATCTTTTTTTTTTTTTTTTTTACTAAAATCTTATTTTAAATTGCAGAAGCAAATTTTAGAAATTTCAGAAGTTTAAGAATTATTTTTATATGTTCCGTTTTCATTTTAAAATTTTTTTATTTTTGTGTGGTTTTTGTCATTTTTATTTTATTTGTGAGTGTGTGTGTGTCTGTGTGTGTCTGTGTGTGTGTCTGTGTGCGTGTGTGTGTGTGTGTGTGTGTGTGTGT